AGGCTAGGCTGCCCGCCGAGGCCCCAGGCCGTGAAGAGCCGGGACACTTACATGGCCACTGCCGCTCGAGAGAGACACCTCCGTTCATCTCTCGTTCGAGTGCAACTTGTCGCGCACAGAGAGACCGAAATCTCTGCAGCCGCCTTGGACAGGGTTTTGATCTGGTTTCCCCTGTCCCGCGTCCGAATGGAAAGGCTGCCGTCCACTGTCCAGACCAGTGAGATGGGACGCCGCGACCGCCACCTCTCAGCCGCATCGAAGCCGCTGATCAAGGCCGCCGCACGCCTGCGAGCCGCCTCCGCGCCGCTGCCGCTACCTCCGAGCTGCCGCCGCCGCCGCCTTTGGCCGCCGCCGCCTGCTGCCGCTCAAGGTAAAGAGCATGTACACTCACACTGCCCCTAAGGTGTGAGTGTGCCACCATTCCCTCATTAAAGACAATACACGCGCCAACAAGGCCTCCGACCAGCTTATGACTTTACGTGTGCACAAGTGACAAACGCGAGAACACATATTTGGCTTTTGAGTACATAATTTGTTTTATCTTAATCCATGTTGCTTTGTCCGGCTGTTTCGGACATGTGAAAATCTTTTCCTCCCTCACAAAAGACCAGAGATAAAATCTTCTTTGCCAATTCCGATTATAACCAAAAACAAACAAAAATCTCTTTTTAAATTATTTAAACAAAATACCCTCTAGTATTAATATCTGTATATGCTCACCAGTCCATTTAATTAACCAGTAATTAATATAAATGAAGTAAAAAGTTGACTTAATTAATATAATTTTAATTAGAGTCATTTAATATTGGAGCATTACAAGAGTAAGAAGTCAAGAAGTCATGATGTTAATTTGTCGGCAGGCTGAAAATTGGATTGCAGAAATTCTGACAGAGAGGATGACAAGTTTGGTTTTGTTGAGAAAGAAGGTTTTCATCTCTTCTAATTTCTGAGCTTCTCGGGCGATCGCAGCTACCACACAATTAAATTTTTTTTTTAATTTTTTTTTTCATTATTGGGTTCAACTTTGTTTAAAAAAAATCATCATTTTTTGCTGGCAGATCTTTATAATTTTGGTCTACGCGATGATGACAAACAAAGCTGAAAACTAAAAAAAAAGACTAAAGAGAGAAAAGATCATGAAAGGATGTGGATTAGGTTGGGGAAGGTCAGATTTTCAGATATGTGAGTTTCTCTTGTTACTCAATTCTTGGGCTGAGAGCTTGCTTGCTCTTCTTCTTGATACCTTCTATTTGTATAATGGGGCTCGGTGAGATTGGATTTAGCTGGCAACTTTTGATAAGTCCAAGCGGTCCCTCTTCCTCTTGGACCCGGACACAGTTCTCTGGACTCTGAACACTGTCCTCTAAAAAATTAGTATAATCTCTTTTTCTGACTTCTTTTGCAAAACCTTATACTGTAAAATGTATAATGTAGCTTTAATCAAAACTATATAAACTTGAACTTGTCACCACCACTAGGAATTTTGCTAAAATTTCCGAGATTAAAAAGACACCCCATCCGCTGCAGTGAGCCTCGGTTGACCAAGTTTTTGTACTCAACACTTATCACAAATTTTGCTACATGTAGGCCTTGCACATGGTACAGGATTAATTCGTTCTGAAAAATTTCTTACTTCAATTGACTTTAAATTTTTATCCCTGTATATTTCAATTCGTCATTGATGGGATTTATAAAATCTAACAATTTGAGATTGTTTCAAAACTCGTAATTCATAATTCCTTAAATTTTTGTACTAAAACAGCGAACTACGTTGTTGTGCGTGGAGAAAAACGGAAATATGATGAGTGATGTGAATGAAACAAGCATCCGCAATCGTGACTCCTGCAATATAGTTTATCGCCGCAATCAGAAAATAACAACATAACCCCAGGTCCAGGGCCGTTCAATTTGGCCGGGGCATAACTCATTCCGCTGCTTGTGCGGTTTTCCTTGTCGGTTTTAATTAGTCACAATTTACTTAAGAGATTGGAAAAAATATATTTGAAGACCTAAATATAAATAAAATGTGTGTAATTATATAATATTAATATATTGCGACGTTTTAAGTGCGTCTAGGTCCACTTCACCGCGCTAGACCTCTGTTCGCCGCGGTCAACCTTTTGGATATGCAGCGTGCAATATAATAATTTTACCAGAAAAAAAATGAAAATAATATGCATGTAATAGTTATCAGAGAAGTAGAGAAAATTTCATATGACAATGTTTGTTGGTTTTATATTTTGATTCTGACCATGGTGTTACACCTATTTTGTAATGACTTAATTAATACAAATTGTGCATAATAATATCGAGCTGGCGAGTTTGCTCGTCAGTTAGCATGAGCACTAGCCGAGAAGCTCTCGAGCTTGGCAGGACTTGAATCATATAAAAAATAAAAATATATTTAAAAAAAAAAAACAATAACAAAAAGGGACTTTTGAGCATAAAATTTGCGATGCAAGATGCAACTATCAGTTTTTAAAAGCGTTTCATATAGACACAAAAATTATTATATTATTATTTAATCTACTCGAAGTTATTAAAAAAATAATGAATATAGCAGAGGTCTGCAAAAAAATTTAAAAATTAAAATTAAAAAAACAGGCGCAATGAAACTACACTTGTTCTTCGATTGGAAAAAAAAACTTTTCGGTTTCTGTGCTCACTCGATAAACAACTTTTTCCCCAAGACTTATATTTTTCAATGACGACAAAAATTAATTGAAATTCACTCAATGTAAATAATAGCATCAGGGTACCTACCGAGCAAGCAAGGGCGCTCCAGTCTAAATGTAATTATCCTGCCGGCCATGAATAACAAGAAAAGACAACTTTAAAAAAAGAATGTATCGCGAAAGCTAAGTCAAAAATTCACAAGTCGATCGGTTCTAGAGCAATGTTTTTCTCATCGGAATCTATGTTCATATCGACACCAAAAATCATAATGAAAAAATTTATATTTCACTGCGGTGATCAAATTCATAATAATGTAGCAGAATTTAAATAAAAATCACCAAAAACCCATAATAATTTACTTTTCAAGCTGACAATGGACAATGCACCGATGGAAAAATAAATAAAAAAATAACTGGGTGGTGCCTTCTGTACCACCATTAAAGGGCACAGGCCGACAAGACTTTGTCGTGGCCTGACCAAAAAAAAAAAATTGTCATTAATATTGAAGGATATTCTCTTCAAGTGGTTATCCCAGGGAATAGAATTTTATTTTTAAAATGGTTTTCCAGGATCAGCCACTGATGAAGAGGATATACCGCCCCGTACAAGTCATTATTCTTTTATTGATCAGACCTAATTATGAGAGTTATATAAGAGACGTAGTCGCGATGTAATTACTTGCGACGCACCCTATTCGCAACATATCACAAGAAATCAAAGAGAAAAACAATGATTATCAAAAGCACAAAATGTATTTATACATTGAAAATTTCTTTTCGGGGCCGAGGACTCCGAGGAGCCCCATATTTCTCGCAGGGGCTGATGAAGCTGATCTAGATTTACGTTTTGCTGGGATTGACGCAGTACGCAGTTTTTTCTTTTGTAGATTATAATATAATAAATCTCAAGCTTCACATCTGGACCTTTTTATAATATATTAACATTACATCGATTATAAATTTTGCGTCACAAAACGCTAAATTGAATTCTAGTTTGGACATTTTGTTTTTATCTTCATCCTTGTTTTATAATCGAAAAAAAGCAATTATTTTATTTTCAAGTGAAGAAGTCCATATCACGCGCCAAACCAGTTAACTTTTAGTTCAAAAGTAACTCTTGAACCCCTAATCAATGCATAACAAAATTCTGCGCCAAACTACCACTATAATTAGTCAGGAGTAGGACGATTCCTCAAGGCCTCTGAATGAGGAAGGAGTCAATTTTTCGTTTCCCAAATCGTTAACGCGCCACTAAATTCGCTATCTTCTTAACAATGAGTAACGAAAATAGAGAAAGGAGGTAGCGGCGGTGACTCTGACATTGGTCCAAGGTTGGTCGACCTGCGGTTTGTTGTAGGAGGAGGATTCGCTGCCGGGTGTGGCCGCTTGGGAGGGGAGCTTAGCGTGCGTATACCTGAAACCGCACCTGCCCCGGACACGCGGTTAGCCCTCCTGCGAGTCCAACTGGTATAAAAGGACTGGAGTGCGTGGCCAAAGTATCAGTCTTTACCAGAGACAGCTCAACAAAACTCACTCAACCATGTACAAGCTCGTAAGTTGAATTTTCAATCAGTTTTTAAAATTTAAAATTATCACTCTTTAAAACCGTATCCAGTCGATTATGAGATTCAGCTCCAATAGACTAGTGTCTAACTGTCTATTCTTATTTATTATTATTTTTTAATATGAATTACTTAAATTTTTTACCAAATGCTTTTCGACAATTTTACTAACACTTTGTTTTTATTTTCTTAGATGATTGTCGTCCTTGCCCTTGTGGCCGTGGCTGCTGCCCAGTACTACCCCTATGCCTACAACACCGTCCGCTCCGGATACTATGGAGCCAGCCCATACGTCGCCGCTTCTCCCCTGGCCTACAGCGGTCTGGGCTACCGCAACGTCTATGGAGCTTATGGCGGCTACCCCACTGCCTACCTTGGTTAAGCTGAGTTTGTAATTGAAGACAGGGCCCGGAAACCTATACCAAGGTGCCAGACCCTGGCGTCAGAGCTGACTGATCCAACCCGATGACCGACATTTGCCTACATCACCCGATTTTTTATTCTGATCAACACGCATGGACACCATTTTGGAAATTCAAATAAAATTTGGCTATATTTTGCTGAAACACACTGAATTATTGTCAAACCTACAAACATTTTTTGAATGAATTCTGACGTAAATTTCTGAATGGAGGGAATTAATTATTTTATTTTTATTTTGGACCTTATTTTTCACTAAATTTCTATATTCATTGCATAATAGGAAATAGTGGAAATTTTTCCTATTTATACTTTGCTTTTTTCATTTCAAAAGTACATTCAATTCTTAAATTAAAATTAGTTTATTCAGCTAAATGTACAATTTTGTTTCTCCTTTCACAACCAACACAAATTCCAATCACCTCTTCAAAAGCCTTGAGCTCAGTTGTAAAGAATATTGTAAATGGAGCGTGGAAAATGTTCAGCTACTTGAGTTTGCACCCACTCAGCAGGGGTGAAAACCTGATATCTTGGCAGTGGAAAGGTTCTGACCACTGCGTCAACAAGAGCACGCAGAACCGGGGCTAAGTCAATTTCCTTAAATAGGATTCGTTTTAAAGCTTAATATATGTTCCAAAAAGAGTGTTCTCAATTTCACCTTATCCTCCTTGATATAGTCGTGGACAGCTCGGACTGTGTTTACAAAGTGTTTCTCGCCATACTCCTTTTTCTGTTCATCGCTCATCGCTATCCAAGCTTCCTTTGCCTGTCGCAAAACTCTCTCCTCACTGAACCATTCTAAAGCTCCTAAAATGAAATATTAAAGAACTGCATGTCGTTAATTTAAATTTAAAAAATATATATATAATATATAATTATTGCTATCGTTGTTTTCTTCTCAAATGTAAAAAATATTTAACTAAAATAAAAAAAAAATAAAACTAGTACCAGTCAGGGAGTCGCCTGGCTCAACCAGGATGACATCGACGCCCCATCTCTTCATTTCCAACCTGAGACACTCGACGAACGCTTCTAAAGCTGATTTGACTGTGCAGTATGGTGCCCTGGCCTGTGAGGAGACGCGACCAAGCAGACTCACCACATTAATAATTCGACCTATATCTCGATTAATTTTAATTCAAATTAATAATCCTCAATTGTCGAATTTCACCTCCAGTGGCTCGTAGTAGAGGCAAAAAACCTTGGGTGACCCTTATGGTGCCCAAAAGATTAACCTCGGCAGACCGCTGGAAGTTCGAAAAAGGTGCCCATTCTACCTCGCCGAAAGCAGCCCATGAAGCGCAATTTATCACCGCCCAAATTCCTTTGAGAAACAGAAAAAGATTTAATTTTTTTTTATGTTGTACCAAACTACATTGCAAATGGGCGGCCTGCCCAGTGTATTGTATCGCAGTATCACACCATAAGTCAATGAAGTAGTGTATAATAATATAACTCCCGCGAGCGCCTTCGAACTTATCCATGCTGTTCCGCACATCGGACTTGTCGCGCGGGTTGCATCAACGCTAGCTGAATGACCTGCTTGAGAGTGCGGCAGATTTTTCTTAATGTAATTGATGGCCGACGAAATTTCAGATTCCGAGGTGACGTCCAGTGATATCAAGTGAAGCCTGCCCGATGACCCACTTTTTATTTTCGTCGCGATTTCTGACTCAATTCTTAAGCAGCCTGCGTAAACTGTGAATCCCTATAATTGCATGAAGGACAATGATTTTTTTTAACTTCGTTTAATTACTGCAGAAGACCAAAACAAACCAGACTGTCCAGCTGCTGTGCCAAAGCTGATCCCAATTTTGAGTCACATCCTGTGATCAAAATAGATTTCCCTGTCGACGTTACCTGCGAAAAAAAATTAGGTCAGTCTGGTCAGTGGTCTAAAAATTTAAGTTGATTTTATTCCAAGAAGCAAGTGGAAGCAAGGTTGATCATATAACGTGGAGAGTACTGTTATTTTTGGATTCTGAAGAGCAGAGTTAGCTCATCCTTTTGGCACTCACCGACTCAAAAATAGACCACGCATAATTGATCGTCAGTGTTACTTCATTCTCAGTTGATTATAAAAGAATTATAACAAATAACGTTGGAATTTTGTATGGACAAAGTGTCTTATCGGCCCGTGCCCTTATATGAGCTTGCTGGGGGCAAGCTCTTATTTTTTTTATTGCGCAATTATTTATTTGCATTCTAACTTTTTACTATCATCAAAAGTCGAGTTGGGGTTGCCGAGTAAAAAATCTTTTGGCTGGAATGGAATCTCAACAGAGGTCTTGAAAAAGATTTCTGCTTTTATCGTTGTCCCACTGACGTACCTGGTAAATTGTTCATTTTGTGAAGGTGTGTTTCCAGATTTGATGAAAATATCAGAGATAAGGCCACTACATAAGAAAGGTAGTGAATTAGATGCGACCAATTATAGACCAATTGCTCTTACATCGTGTATCTCGAAAATATTTGAGAAAGCTTTCTTGATGCAACTAGAAAAATATTATGAGGAAAATAACTTTTTGCCTGTCCAGCAGCACGGATTCAGAAAAAAGCGTTCAACAGTTACTGCCCTATTTGATATGGTTATAAATGTGTATGACTCTTTGGACAAGAGAGAAAAGATTAATGTAATTTTGTACGATTTTACAAATGCATTTGGATCACTAGTACCTGAGAGATTGTTAAGCAAACTACAAATGTTTGGTGTTAATGGCAAAGCCTTGGACTGGATCAAGTCATTTTTGCTGGAAAGAAAACAGCTCGTTAAGCTTAAAATCCTTAATGAAAATTTTGAAGAAGAGATAATTAAATCAAAGCTGCAGGAAAGCAATAGAGGCGTTCCGCAAGGTACCTCACTGGGCCCCTTTTCATATAGTGCGTACTCGATTGACCTTCCATTGATTATTATAATTGCTATATTAGTAATTTTTGCTGATGACTCAACTATGATTGTGAAAGGTAAAACTGCCTCTGAGGTGAATGAAAGGACAATAGAAGCAAACTCTGATATGGTGAAATATGCGAGTGATAATTACTTAAAACTTAACCCAAACAAGTCTATGGTAATGACAATGCACACGGCACAAACGAAGAAAATAGTTCAGCCCGAAGTCTTCATAGACAATAAGGAATTATCTGTGGTGAAAAGTAGTCGCCTTCTTGGAGTAACGATAACAGATACAATGAGTTGGAGCAAGCAGTGCAGTGAAGTGGTTGCCAAGTTACGCAGTGTTACGTATCTATTTATCATACATGGGCAGAGCGCACTTTGCGCTCTGCGATCTGCGCTCGCGCTCTGCGCTCATGAGCGCGAGCGCAGAGCGCGATCGCACGATTTTCAAAATCGTGAGCGCGAGCGCAGAGCGCGAGCGCATTGGTCGCTGAGCGCAGCGCTCAATTGCGCTCATTTTGCGCTCAAACCAAGAGTAAAAATTCCCGAATTTGATCAAAAATTGTAATGAAAAACAGTGTTTTTATACCAAAAACTTAAAACTGATCCCAATTTTGGTGATTTAACTTCAACTTTATCATTTCCAATTGCCGATGTATTTTTTGTTATATTAAAAAATTGTCTAAAAAGTCGCACTTTTTCATCGGATAAAAATATTTTTGAGCGCAACGCGTGAGCGCAAGACTTTTTAAAAATTTGAGCGCGAGCGCAGAGCGCGAGCGCAACATTTTCAAAATCTTGATCGCGAGCGCAGAGCGCGAGCGCACTGTTGCCAGTGATCGCGAGCGCGAGCGCGAGCGCAAAATTGTTGAGCGCACCCATGTATGCTATTTATCATGTTGCGAGACAAAGTATTGGAATCAACTCTAGTCCAAGCCTATCATGCGTACGCGGCTAGCCGAATACTTTTACTCCATTGTAATCTGGGGTGGCTCTACACACATGAAAGATGTTTTTCTAGCGCAGAAGCGAGTAATAAGAGCAATGGCTGGTGTTCAATACTGGAGAAGTAACTCGGCGCTAGACTCATGTAGACCACTATTTGTGAAATTTGGAGTTCTTACAGTCTATTCATTATATATTTTGGAGTGCGTTAAGTTTGTGCGTAAATTTCCTGAAAAGTTTAAACTGAATCGGGATGTTCCAGGTGTAGTAGTGCGAACTACGCGTGCTACCAGCTACGTCGACACTGATTTGTTTGTAAGGCCAAGCTCACTAAATTGCGTAAATGAGAGTCCGGAGATAATGATTGCCAGAGTATATAATAAACTACCTAATGTACTGAAAGAAATATCTGACTATGGCAACTTTATTAAAAGTGTCAAATTTGTAATGCTGAAGTATCAATACTATGATATGAATGAATATTGGACATGTAAATTTGAATGCCTAAATTTGGAAGAGTGAGACTCAGCTGCAGGGTTTTCGGGGGTGGTTTTCCCCTGCAGTATTTGAGGAGGGATAGTCAAATGCTTGCCCACCCCCGCCAAATTATTAATGGCGTGCGAGCTCCCTCAATCGCTCCCTCAATTACTTACTTATTGAATGTTATCGTTAAAATTTTTTGGAGGTTTTATTTTGCTATTTTATTGACTTGTTGTAAAGACAAATTGGTGATGTATTACATATGTCTAATGCAATAAATTTTGATCTAATCTAATCTAATCTAAAAGTATTAATTCAATAAGACATAAGACATGACCGAATTTTTTAAAAAATGAATGACCAAACTCTTTCTTTTAAAATTTATAGCTCCAAAAAGTGTTTGAAAAAAATCACAAAAAATTGTTATACTGATATTAAATCATTGTGAAAAATAATAACAAATAGTTTGCTGTGGTTATTGTCAGTTAAAACCTTTTGGCAAAAGTGTTTCATACTTTAAGATTATGGTAGAAGAAAACGATAGCCAAACTCGCGGAACAGAAGAGGACGAAAAGGACAAAAAACGAGATCTGTGAGATCCTCAGGGCGTTGAGTAGTCCCGAGATCAGGGCGGCGGCCGCCTGCGAAAATACCACTGGCAAAAGGCACCTGTCCAGCAACACCGACGGGAATTCGGCGGCCTGTTTTCCCGTTGAGGCATCCATTTTTCCGCACCTTCCACAATACTGTATTTAGGGTGAGCGATCAACGAAGCACACCGCCCGCTTTCTGGCACGCCGTCCAACACACTGTGAGCAGCGGGACACGCAGAGAAAGAAGCGACGCAAGTAGAGTAGGAGCTCCTTTCTTGGAATATGTCCTGCTGGCTCCTCTCCATGTTATAAAGGAATCCTTGTTGACATAGTCGAATCAAGTTTTTGCAGCTATGGTGGTTTAAATTGTTTTCATTGCTTTAAAATAATTTATAAAATGGGGCTCTTATTGTTGTAAAGACTTGATTTTAGTATGTCATTGGTGTGGGACAATTTAGCTAGTTTTATTTAACCAAAAGTTAGAAGAAAGCAGATAAGGGATTATTGAAATATTGCTGACTTAATTTAATTAACTGGAAAAATACTTTAATAGAGTATGTACTCAATTTATGAAAAGAAACCTTCTTCATAGCTTATCTAGAAACTAGACAGGTTGGGTTTTGGGGTAAAGCCACTCGAGTGATTGGTGGTGCGGTGTGATTTGGAATTCTCCCAGCGAGCTTGCATTGCCAGTCATTGAGGTATTCGATTCCTTTAATAAATGTAAACTCCACGTGCCAGCGGATGCTCGAAAATGTGCGCCCTCGGCGAGCAAATTGTTAGTGACCAAAGTGGCCGCCTGATGTCGTTGGAGGTTGGCCAGCTGGTACTTCGTGTTTTTAAGATTTTACTCTTGCTTCTTGATTGCTGCGCCGGGCAGATTCGGTAAAAATTCGTGCCGATTTCGGGCAAAAATGGGAGTTTATTGGTCCTCGTATAGGGAGCCTGAAAGGTTCCCTGATATTACCAAACCACCGACCTTCGACCCCATGTTTGGTTTTCCGAATGGCCGAAAACCAAGAGGTGAGAATTCGCCGACAACTCGGACCAAACCACTTCAGCCAGCTGAAAATTAATTTAACATAGTTTGGCAAATTATAATTTTAGAAAGTACATGTTAGTAAAGAAGTCAGAATTGGAAAAAATGATGTCATTTTTTATTCAAATTTCATTTCTTTTTGGATTTTTCAACCTCGGTGTGTTCTTATATGACCTGTATTTTCGTGTAAAATTGACCTTCAAAGTAGTTCAATTTTCAATTATTTCAGAAATGATCGCCTCACAAGAAGAAATGGTAGCAGCAAAGTTGGAGCTTGATGAGCGAGACTACTGTGCACACAAATTGATAGACTTCCGCAAATGCAGATCAGAAAACTGGCCCTGGGTTGCAAACTGCAAACATGAGAAGCATGAATACTTGACATGTCAATTTGACGAGTAAGATGATCAAATTTTTTGTTCTTGATTTTCCTATGAAATTCCGATGGTCTTAACATGACTATTTATTTATAATCATGTAATGATTATGAAATGAAATGGTATCACAATCATATAGTACAATAATTAAAACATACATTTAGGAGTTAGGAGCCTTCAATATTTTTCAATGCAATTTTTTATTATTGTCAGGTTAAAATTTATCTTCAACATTACCCACATATCAAGGATTTTTTTTTCAAAATCCAAACCATCTGACGTAGAACCTCATTGCAATAAGTGAGGGATATTTACTAATCTATCAAAGAGGTAATCACTGCCCATAAAAAGATGCATAAATTATAATTTCTAAAAAAAAAACTACGCTGTGCTAGTTCCTTTTGGTGTGCTATTGAAATGGATTTTACTAACTTAATTTTTTTTCTAATTTTAGGGTCAGGCTAAGACAAAGTCTTATCGGCCTGTGCCCTTTGTTAGTGGTGCAGAAGGTACCATAGTTACCATACCCAATTGTCAGATTAAATCATTTGTTTTTAATTTCTGGCCACTTGAGAAGCAATGCTACATCACCTTCATTGATCCTAGTTACCTACATTTTAGAGTCCAGCCTCCTATTGTATAGGAATTTTTAATGGTAAATTACAGACTTGGAGCCCTGGTGAGATATCCCAGATCCAAATTCTAAAATTATGACTTTTTTGGGAATCTGCTGTTTCAATAAAATTATTATCCTTTTGTCAGTTCTTATAAAATTAAAGTCAACAATTTGTTTTCAGCTATGTGCTCAGAATGAAGGAGTACGAAAGGGAAAAGAGATTGAAGGCGCGCCAGCACAGAATCGAAGCAAAAACGAAGTCCATCGAACTGGCCGAATAAACTGTAAATTAGTGGATCACTTGGCTGGGCAACCAACTTCTTGACCTGCCGTAATGCTGTTTTGAGTAGATGCTGTCACTGTAAATTAATAAATCCAAAATGTCAAAATGTTAGTTACAATTTTGTAAATGTTCTTTCCATTGAAAGCCAAGTTCAAGATTTTATTGAGCTCTTTATTTTTGGTAAAAAAAAACGCAGCATAATCGGGATATGATACAATCTTGATTAAGTGTGTTTGGACCAAACAGCATTTCCTACCTTCATGCTTTGTACCTTCTATTCGAATCCTTTGTCTAATTTTAAATACAATGGACCAGTAATCACATCCAATATCAGAGGCAGATACAAAACAAAAGAACTTCTCAATTTGCAATTTGAGTGTTTTATGATTTAAAAAAAGATAATGTATCTTCCTCACTTAAATTGCTAAGAGTCACAAAACAAACGGCAATCTTTAAGAATAGTCTCACCAACATATTATCTTGAGGTTACCTGAAATATTTATGCCATGTGCTTTTGATTCCTAAATACATTCAGGTCAAAGCAGGCTAGAAACCTTAAATCTAGTTTTTGAACTGTATAATGCATAAAAATTATTTATTAACCTTTTTTCCAATTTAATGATTTCTGTTCACGTTTATAAAATAAGTTGCTTTTAGGTGTAGCTATTTAGATTTAGAGCACAGGTAAAAATCTAAAAATCTACTCAATCATATATTCGTGATTCCTTAAAAAAATTAAAATTCTTCGATCTGAGTTTGGCAAGACAAAATTTGGCAATATATTATATTTTGTTGTATTACTGACAATAGTATGGAAATGCAATAAGGCACACATAAGGAAGAAATTTCAAATTCGTCTCAACGCCTAGAGAATTGACGAAAAAATAGTAGTCTTTTTTTTCTTTCGAAGAATCTTGCATTTTTTTTTTCAAATATAAATTAAAATTAGTAAATAAAAGGTTGAATCACAAACACTGGCACTTTAACGCACGTGTTCTTAGGCAGCACACAATGAGAAAAACTCCATCATCTCCAGTATGGGACCAGTAGAATTAAGTACATATATAATGAGGGCGCGAATGCATGTATATATAATGGGCGGAAAAATACTATGTACAGTACAAACTACAAGGTATCGGATGAGTTATTGGGTTGGCATCACCGGAGAAAAGGCGCGGGCGGGGAAGCCTGGAAGCCGCGCAGGCTCACTGAGTCTTGATCTTAGGGGTTGGGCCCTCGGCCGCCGGGGTGAGCACCGGGGTGGCTGCCAGGGCGGGTGCGTTGTGGACGCCCTTCAGGGTGTCGAGGGCATCGATGCTCTTGGGCCTGTTTTCGCGGCGGTACGCCTTGATGTAGAAATCGAGGAAGAGGCCGAAGAAGATGCATGAGTGCACCACCAAGAAGGCCGAGATCAGCTTTGGGTAGCTGCAGTCCGACGAGAAGAGCGCGTTCGCCGAGTGCACGAAAACCATCAGGAATTGAACCTGCGGAAACGCCCTCCAGGTGAGTACAAAACACATATTTTATCATGAGCTAGGCTTTGAAATCCCTTCCCTTGCAATCGAGGTTCTAATAAGTATGTAATCTTGAAATTTACCTAACTACATAATCTTCAATTTTAATTTTTTATGCTCAGCGCATTTATTTATTGTCAAATTAAGTCTTACAAGAGAAGAGCAAGAAATTATTGGGGGTTATTCCATGCTAAGTTAGCACCAGCAAATCCCATAAGAAAGTTAGCATGTGAATTTCCCCCAATTATTTCTTTTTATGTGTTATAGTTTAAGCTTTCCGATGAACTGCATACAAAAAAATATTACATCCAAATTTGAATGTTATGTATGAAACAAAAATCTCAATTTGAGGGAATAAACAAAAAAGTAAATGTATGCATACATGACATTAATTTCACTGAGGGCGTACATTGTTATTTTGCATTTTTTTTTTTTTTTTGCTTTATCTCGGCATCGTTACTCTTTTATTGCATTAAATTATGGTTGTGTGATATGGTGTGATATTGCATTTTGTTCTTTCTGAAAAAAAAAAAATACCCTCAACCATTTTTGCGCCAACTGGGTCTAAAAAAGTGCAGACGCAGATATTTGAAAAGGATTATATTTAATCATTTGAATTATTTTCGCGATAAGTTTTATTTTGTATTTAATCTTCGGTTACTTAATTATTGCTCTTGCTAACATCGCATTAACTTGCTAAACAGTAAAAAGCTGCAATCGATATTTATGTAAACACGAGAGTCAAAGTGAGTTTATGCCGTGCTTTGTGAGAGCAAAAGAACGCGGTCGATACTTTAAAGCAACACACATTTGAAGCGACAAATTAAAGCAAGCGGGTGATCTGAAGCCCAACAATGTCGGACAGAACTAATTGAATTCTTGTATGAATGAATTAACGATTAAGCATTTTTAGATAGTTTTTTAGCAAATCATCATTTCATTTTTGAGCTAATAATTTTCATTTTTTTTGCAACATTATAATATATTAATTAACTATCTAATCCTCTCTTGGAATACAAAATTTAGTTTATGTTTCAACTCTCAGAGAAAAATAAATGCATGAAATAAATTGAGCTTGTGGTCGGATGAGAGTGCTAATAATGTTTTTTTTTTGCGTTCAAAGTAAAGCAAATTGCATAACTGCAGTGGGCAGTGCATGTTTGCTTTGAATAGAACCCATTGACGGATTATCGCTTTTGACAATCCATCACACTGACATTTACATTTAACGTTGCTCGCGCGCTGCACAACTAAGTGAGCAAAAATACTTATATGCATAGCTAACGCGATGCAGTTTCCAAACAACCGTCGCGCATGTTGATTTTACTGAATACATTTTCTGTGTCTCAACAATTATTGAATCTATCCCCATGACAACAAGACATGACTTTTTAATTTCTATCTGCGAAGACAATAATTTTTTCTTTTTCCGATCAATTTTGATTTCAAAAATTTAAGAGCTATAATTTTTAATGAAGTACATAATGTTGAACTCGGAGATATCAATTCAATTTATTTTCCTCCAAACTAATCAGGACTATCAACTGTGATAAATTGGTTGACAGAAAAAGCAAACAGTGCTAGTGAACAACTCACTGAAGCACATTTTACATTTATCAACACTATTTACACTTTTCATTTTAACTGTTTAAAATGGCAATAACTTGCTTTTTATAATGTAAATTACTTACTTCAAAAAAATAATTCAAATGAGTATTTGGCCAACTATAAAGCCCATTTTCACCTCCAATGATGAGCTTAATTTTTACTACGGATTGAAATTCTGATTCTAATGATTGTTCTTACCAACTGTACAGTGGTGAGATGCTTTTTCCACCAGATGTATTTCTGGTACTGAGGTCCCATCGCCGTCATCATGTAGTAGAAATACATAATAACATGCACTAAGTTGTTAATCAAGTTCGAGAAGGTCCCATGACCACCTGAAAAGATGAAAAAAAAAAAACAGCATCAGCCGTTACAGTCTTGGTAAAGATCGTATCAAATTTTTTTTATAATATCCCCTTTTTTGCAGACGGGCAAAACTTAAACTGCATGTCACTGCTCATGTGCGTCACAAGAAGCACAATTTTGAGTCTAGTATTTTGGCAAATACGCTATGATGCAATAAGAAAAAAAAGGTTCAAGCGTCACGATTTGATTTGCAAGTCATTTCCCTAATTTATTTATAAGTTTATCCATTGAAGCTCAAACCAATATTTCAACAAAACGAATCATTTTTGTCGCAGTAAAAAATTACCTGCAAGGAATCTGACGAGGACCCAAGTCATGATGGGAGTCATTGAGTGATGGTAGACATGGAGTAACGAGATTTGGTTGTTCTTTTTGCGCATCACAAAGAAAAGCTATAGCATAAAAACATATTATTACTGTTGCTACTTTTCAATAATTACCTTTTTCTTAAAATTATAGATTTAATGCAATGCATTTTTTTTTTTAATTTTTACTTACGGTATCCAGGAATTCAGTTAGTTTGGAAATGTAGTACCACCAGCAAAGCTCAGCCATCTAAAAATTTTCAATCATTAAACCTTCCGTTAGCAAATTTTGATTGTATTTCTCACCCTCATGGCTACAGGACTATGCGAGTAGTCCACTGGTTGACAAGAATAGCTGTATTCGAACAGCCAGCCACCCATCAGGTGCTGAAAGTAAAGATAAAATTTATTCATAAAATTTGATCATATTTTTTCAATTGAAATGTTTGTTAATAAAGTCTTGTACTTTGTTATGAACTCAAATGATTATTTTAGAAAGGATTTCAAATGGGAAGAAATGGACATGATAAAACGTAGGGATTTGAATTTGATTATTTTATGATACTTTATTTATTGTTATAGAATACCTCAACTAGAGATGCTAGTTGTGATACCCTTTTTGCTTTTTATTTAATTTTTTTTTTTTTTTTTTTAGGGTCAGGCCAAGACTAAGTCTTGTCGGTCTGTGCACTTTATTGGTGGTACAGAAGGCACCACCCAATTTTTCCATTTGCTCATTTTTCCAATTTTCTATTTGTAAATTATTTATTCTCCATTCAATATACAGTCATGTGAATACAAGGCTAGCTAAAAATACTATTAATATTACTATTTATTCTTCTCGGTCAGTTATTATTATTATAATTATTGATCTTTATTGACTTACAAAAAAAAAATAAAAAAATACATTTGAAAAGAAACACATGACTCGAGTAAAATGAACAACAACAAGAGGCGAGGATCCAAAGGACAATGAATTCTGAATAGAGAGTAAATAAATAAAATTATGTTTCACATTTGCTCGTTTGGTCTCAATTTCAAGACAAAGGTTTTTTTTAAATTTATATTTTACAAATTAAATGCTGGCCAAGTAAAACTACTTGAAATAAAATCCTCCGTATTTTTTTTACTAATTATTTAAGGTATTGAAAAATGATTAAGATTATTTGTTAAAACCTGCAAAAATGTTTTAAGTGCCAGATTTCCCAAAAAATCTATTAACTAATCGCATATTTTCAAAAGAATATAAATATTGTAAAATATGGCAAAAGCAATTAATTATCAGATAATTATCAATTTCTTGTTATCTTGCCCTTCATTGGCGGAGCAGAGGGCACGTTCCATTAGCGTCCAATGCCAAAAAATTTTGAAACTCAATCTTAATTATTGAAGGTGAAACGCCCCTAGTTTTTTGCCTATACGTGGTTAATTTTGCGTCAAGGTATTTTTTGCTCTTTGCTCGTGACGGCTGCCAGCGGTGGAGAGAGAAAACAAAAGTGAGGCAGTTTATTGTCTCCATGCTGGTGCGTTGCACTGATTCGTGTTTTCCTTTCATCTCCACGGCCATTTCCGACTGAGATCAACTTGTATTTTTTTCTTAGCCGTGGACGCGAGGTTACTTAATTAAAAGCTTCCGCGCGTGGAAAAGTACACGAAGCCAAAATAAGACCCATTGCGATATGTCTCGCGGCACACATAAAAAACAACATTTTTCTGTGAGGAAAAAATGATAAGTAATTTATAGCAAGTGAATTGCCTCTAAATTTTGGCCAAGCCGGAATTTTCCTCAAGAGCGCGCTAAAGTATCCGACCTTTGGAATTATGTAACCTGCCATGATGCACCGTCCGAGGAAAATAAGCTGACGCACTAGCAAAACCAAAAAATTTACTCCATTAAATGGCATAACATTGCATTATGCTTATAACTCTCAAGAAGAATAGGTATGAGAGAACTTTCACTCTTTCTGCACCAAGTTCAAGATCAGAGCACACATGCGTGCGCACAGAGTAAGTATGCTTTTATGTGCTTTTATGCAACAATCGCTTAAGTGCTCTCGGAGTGCACTCCGACCGTCTAGAAATCTAATTATGCAACCGCGCTAGAGTTGATCCAGGAGCCATTCTAATTATCATCCAGCGACGGGCTAACCAAATGGCAATTTAACATTACTGCTACTGATTTGAAAAAGCAGTATATTAAAAAATCAAAATAAAATTTGCTAAATCAGGTTATTAACAGAAATCACCACTGCCTTTTGGAAAAATTTATTTTCAATTTAAAAAATACGTTGAGCTTTTTTGTTATGTAATAAGTTTTTTTGCACACATGAATATTATGAATTCTCCTGTATCAATAATTGGCCAAATTTCTGGCTTATAAGAGTAAATCAAATATTTTTTTTTATAAAATTATAAATCAAACTTCTCTACATGTTATATTATGTATGTAGTAAAATTCATTTTCGAATGACCTTTAAGATTAAGGACCATTCCAAATTTGCAATGACAAGCTATATCCTTTCATGGAAATGCGTCCAGTCATTGTCGCAATCCACAACTAAACTTTTTTACTTTATTTGAGAGGACCTGCATCCCGGATGCGACAACATCTTTGGAGAGACTCGCATTTTAGCAACACAAAAAATTCGCATTGCGTCTTGCAAATTCAGACCTTCCTTGCACGAGTAACGATTAAATTATTTTCATTCACCTCGTAAAACATGGCGGCGCTGTAGATGACCTGGGCCGCGTTGTACACGATTAGCACCTCTCTGAGCTTGAAAGGCTTTCTGTTGTCCATAAGGGTGGGTCCCAGGATGAGCACTGTGTAAAGGTAGCCAGCCACCATCACCAAGGTGGGGATCGGGCTCGACATCAGGGGCCAGCTGCTCGTCCTGGGGTCTAGAATTAATAAATGATTTATGATTATATATCTGGTCATATTTGACATTAAGCGATTTAAATAAATTAGACACCGTTAAATCAAGATTTCTAAAACGAGCCTTGCAAGTGTCTAAATTTACTAAATCCAGACTGGTTTACGAGCTCACTGACACAAATCCACTAATAAGTGACATTATGCAAAAATTTAATCTAACAGAAACCTTAAACTCTAAAAAATTCATTGAAAACTTTTTATTTAAATTAACAGAAATTGATAGTGCCTTTTACAATACTCCGGCAATGGTTGCCGAGTTATGGAAAGAAGCGTGTTTCGATAAAAGACATCTACACACTAGGTACGCCGTACATGGTTTTCACCATCTTTTGTGTAAAAATAAAGAATACCATACAAGTTCTAGAGATAGCTGTATCTACAAAAAGTGCGGTGAGAAGATTAAATTTTATCACTTCATTGAATGTTTGAAGAATGATTTAAATCTAACAAAAGTTTCGAAAACTCTGTAATATTCTCGATCTTTTTTATATTTCTTGATTGTCGTTTATTTTTGTATTTTGGTTTAGTAGCACACCCAATGGTGTACAATAAATACTTTCATTCATTCATTATATAAATTAGCGTATTTTGCGAAAAAGTATTTTCAGCTTTTTCTGTACTTTGTATGTACAGTTTTTGTACTGTGTATTCATGACTCATGACTGTATCGAATGGAGAATAAATAAATAAATGGGAAACAATTAAAATTTTAACAATTATCATATATTTTAAGCTTTGTCTCAATCATATGGCACAAGTTGCAAATATCAACTCGAAAAATATTTTTTCACCGGTCATGAAAACCTGTTGGCGGTGCGAGATTCAAATTAAAGGTTAGAGACCACTTTGTCTTGGCGCCCAAGGTATTCGCATTTGACTGCTTCTTTTTACAATTTTTAATTAGCGCGTGGAGATGGAATTTAAGCAGGTGCCGCTCGAGATCTCAAGAGAAGCAAACGAAAAATTTCTATTCACAGTCCAATTCCACGCGATTTATTTCTGTGCTTATTTGACTTTTATCCGCAATAAAAGTGAATTAAGTTCAGATTGCTTCTCTATTGTAGACGAGCTTGAGATGGTAAAATAATTATAAAGGATAGTAATATTAATCCCTGCTTTTTTACAAAAATTATCACAAAATTACAACCATCAGTGAAAAAAATGAATTCCGACAGTATAATGAATTTTTTGTAGAAAATCTGGTTTAATATGAGAACTAATTCACTAGAAGGTGTTTCTCGCCATATGGAATTACAATTTTCTTTTGAATATGTAAAAAGCATTAACGAGCTTTTCGTGAAATATACTTTTTTTGCGCACGTCAGTTTATTCACTCGAGGATAAACTTTCGTAATGACGATGTTAGATTTACTCAGCAGAAAACGCACACATCGAGCCACATGCGTCCGGTCAGTCGCTTCAAGGTGCACGTTGCTCTCAAAGAAATGCTGTTCGACGGACCGGCTGAAATGATTCAGCACAGTTTCAATTGTAATTTGGCACTTTTTTGTACACGTCAAGGACAGTTAAAGGTAAACTCGCGCCGAGTCCAGATCCAGCGACAGGTGAATGCGTTTCGCACGTTTTATTCGTTTCTCTGCCAAATTATACAGTCGGTAAATGGGTGGGTTTCTGGAAATATTTTGCCAAAATAAATCCATCACTTGCTGAAAGGTCACTAGGACTTTTTCTGCAAGTCCACGCTCCAACAGCTTAGGCATTGAGGTAGATTTTCCGCGCTTGCAGCAATAAGGCATGGATGAGGGATTTCTATTTGTTTGTCAGCGCTCACTTGTTTTGCAATGCTTCAGCCTCATAATTTGCGAAAGATTGAACCAACTCTTTGTCTGATTGAATTTAAAAATAAGTCAATTTAGAGTATGAGTTGATTTGTGAAGAATACAGAAATTATTATTTGCAAGTAAATAAACATGCGTGGGCAGAGCGATCTGCTATCGACGCTCATGAGCGCGAGCGCACGATTTTTTGAATTTTGAGCGCAGTGCTTATTTTGCGCTCAAACCAGCGATTTAAGCGAAAAACCTCAAATCTATTGTTTATTCTCTCGCAATAAGTAAAACAGGAAAAATTAAACATTACACTGGGAGATAATTGGCAGCCAGCTCAAGTAACTACTCATAGGCTCAATTGAAAACCAAAATATTTATCTAAATATAGGCAACACTTTTTTTTAATTAGATCGTTAGTATTTCCTAATTGATTTTCTGCCAAAGGCAAGGTTTCCTTTCTGATCAGAAATCAGAAGGTAATTCACAAACTGATAACATTCCAGACCCCTGAAACATACTAAATTATTACTAAAATTTACATTTCAAACGCGGAAATTGAATAATTTTGTCAAAAAAAAGAGTGTTTGCCTGGATGAAGGAAAAATATATCAGCCTACAAGACGCGGTGATCCTTAAATTCTGAGGGTCGGGTCATCGCTTAAAGGTTTGCACATGGATTTCGGATTCTTTCGTTATCGGCCTACTTATGGCGACTTCTGAGGAAGTGACCGTGACAGCGAAATAAATATTGGGCCACTGCAAGCAAGAGTCAAATGCGAAATTAACTCACCGCTGATGTAGTCCCAGTAGTTGAGGCCGTAGTCGATGACTTCCTTCACTAGTTGCGCCATAGCACCTGTTTGATTTTTGTTTGCTGCGTGTAAAATAAATTGCGTGCGAGGAGCACTTTCCGAGCCGGCCTCGACACTGCACCAACCAATCGCCGAATTTCACCACCTGCAAATAAAACACAAAAATCCGATTCAATTGAAATAGGAAGTCAAAAACTAAAACATGGCAAGAAAATTCAATGGTGCGCATGGTTAATGGTAGTTTTTTTATAATTTAGGAATTCAATAAGTGATTATTATTTAATAATCATTTCTTGTATATACTGAGTCATGGACCGTAATGGTTAGCAAAAAATTTCGGTACTGTGCGACTGCCTCAATGCGTGTAAACACAAGTTACTTGCTTGTGAATAGTTATTTGTGACACACTGAAAATCGATTTAATTTTGCTCAGACTGTGCTGCAATAGAGCGCCAGAAGTTTTATTGCTACTAATAGTTTGAAAATATGGGTCAATTGCTATGAGGAACTGCTAACTTGATTTTTATTTTTGCAACTATTTTTATATCGTCATTATAACTTTGTTACACTTAATAAATTTATCTCAGTGGTTCCTTTATCTAAATTACTGATTTACTCTCGCCCTCACATATAGGCAAAAATCAACCCAAGTACTATTTATTTGTCCAATTTTTATGAATTCATTTTTTAAACAAATTATTCATTTCCTTTATTCCCTCGCAACAAGTCAAACAAAAAATGGAAAAGTCACATTGGGAGAAATTTGGCAGCCAGCTCTAGTAAACAACTTTTACTAAAACTCATAGGCCCAAGGCCCAATTTGGAAGCAAAAGTATTTCCAAATTAAACCAAGCCCTAAGCCGAGCTCGAGTCATAAACAGGAAAAATTTTTTATCAAAGAATCATATATTCTTTCCATGCACTTTTAAAACTGAGGAACCATACCATTTTTTAACGCAGCTGAAAGGGAATTCCACTGATTCTTGATTCGGAAAGAAAAACTTTGTCGCCTGAGAGCTATGTGCAGTGCATACTTTTGGTAGAATTAAACATTGCTCGCCGCCGCCGCCGCCACTATTATTATTATTATAGTTGTTTTTATTGTGTATTCATCCTAGTTACAATATCATTGCATTCAATATCTGAAAAACAATTGGAATTGTTGGAGAAAGCGGCTACCAATTAGCAAGAATTTTGCTAAAATATCCCAGATATAAAGACCCTATCCACCGCAGTGAGCCTCGGTTAACTTTGTTTTTGTTCTTATCACGTATCACAAATTTTGCCACATAGGTAGGCGTTGCAGAGGGTTGGAAACTGTTCCACTGCGCTAAAATCCTGCCCATTCTTTATCCTCGAATGAACAAAATATTAGAATCTTTACTTGAAGCATTTATTCGCATTTCGCATAAAGTATTTATTTTAGTTTAGGTGTCGGATATATATTTTTAAAGAATGATTTTTGCGCAACGACGAGGAGACAAAGGCGCGCTAATCGGCACATTAAGTGCCGCCGAGCATGAGTGCACGCCGTTTTTTAGCGTTACAGTGGCGTTTGATATAATTTGATGTTCGCTATTAGTGAAAGGATCGCTTGTAGGATTACACGGTGTCTTTTGAGCATGGGGAAATGAGAGATGCGGTAATCGCGGCACCAAAACTCCATTTCGGACGGTATAGAAGTGCAATAACAAGAGCATTTTTGTACGCCATAAATTTGATTCACTTTCACTGTGGAAGGCAAAATTGGGTCTGTTATTATTATGAATTAACAAATAAATCAATAATTTAATAAATAAGCGAACTCAAGGCAAGCTCACTATAGCGGATGTTTGTATCTCGGAAGCTAAAGCAAAATTTTTGCTAGTGCGTTAATTAATAACTTAAATTATATGACGTTCAAAAAAATATAGAATGTGTTGTTGACCAAACGCGCAGAGTTGACAAAATGCATTATTTGGTAAAAAAAAAAAAATTGGCCTAGTGTTTTCACTTTAGACTAGAAGCGATTTACATTTAATTAGACATATGCTTGATAAAGAAGGTCAAGTTGCAGTAATTTTGGAGCTACATTATAAAATTCCGCCACTACTGTTAATAAAATTGCACAGTCGGTTGCTAGGTCGATCAGAGTGGGTCCATAAGGCACGCTTACTTGAGTATAACAGCTTGACTCTCACACTCGATTGACCCCGTATGTAAACAGTCTATGTGTCTGTCAGTTGCATAATTGCAATGCACCTAGATACTTGAGATTGTACACATGGGCACCGCCGCGCGGGACGTCCTTGAAAACCAGTTTGTGAGCACCAGAGAGTGCAGCATTTCAATCCATACATAATTACGCACAAATATAAAACTGGCGTGTCTGCCGTTTGATTCTGTGAACGTGATAAAAAAAAAATACTTCGGAAAGCGTCAAATTTTACGCATTTTAATTTTGAAGATGGGCTATAAATATGAAGGATGTCACTGGCATTTTGTTAATTTTTTTTTTTGGTCAGGCCAAGACAATAATAGCGTAAGAAAATTAAAGACGGCAGCCTTGAAAAGTGCGCCAAAAAACACGATGTTGCCAGGATATTTTCGCCTAATTAAATTACTCATTGCCATTATACTCACCTGGCATTCATATCATATGAATCCACAAAGCCCACTTGTCACAACGGACCATTGAAATAAAAAAAAACTCTTTTTTTTAGATCAACAAGCAATAATTTTTATTTTCGGCCCACGCTTTTCTTTTCCAAAATTACAAAAAAGCTAAAACTAACCGAATTCTCAAGTTTCCTTGCACGCATAAGTAAATCGAGAGAGTGCAATCGAGTTGAATGAATAACTTTTCCCAAGCGGCGCAACCTTGAGCTCGTCTCGTCAATGCACTTTATAGACTTACTTTCAATCTCTCGTTGCAGCAATTGCAGATTATTCACTCCCTTTGCTTCGCGCGGACAATTAATCACGTGACGATTTTATGCAGGCGTTTTATTTTTCACGCTCTAGAAACGAAATTTGGCCGCGACAGCAAATCTTAAAACTGCATTCGGCGGAATTATACCATTTGCGTGCGTGGCGGAGCTTCCTCCTTTATTCGTCCGAATTTTATTAAGCCGGGCGCGCTTTCACTGTCAAGTCAGCGAGTACAAGAGCTAAATTTTGCAGGCGAAATATTATGTCACAATAGTTCTTAATTCAAATTTGGGCAAAGCAATTCATTGAATATTTATACAATTTTATTGAAATGAAAATCTTGAAAATTTGTGTTGACTAATATTAGTTATCAAATGCATATATATGGAGAAAATTTATAAATAAAAAAAAATTGTATTTTTGTACGTGTTAGTTTATGAACTAATAAAATATACTATGTATTAAATCAAATCGACGAGAAATGTCTTGCAAAATCCATAATACGTATAACCTATATAAATATGCATTAAAATATTATAAAAAGTTTGATCCTAGCTATATGATTAAATAAGAATCATGATAATATAATAGCTAAAAATGATCTTTCATCCATTTTTTATTTCCATTCTTTTTTTAATCAATAGTTGGAACATTTGAGGAAGTATAATCATTGTGTCAAAATTTTTTTAAACCAGCGGCTCGTTATCTTTTCTGCGAGTGCTTTCGGGCTCAAGAGGACATTAAATAAACTGGAAATGAAGCGATCGGCCTTTTCCTCGCTGCAGAAAATTGTTTTTATTCAAAAACAAATGGCTCTACCAGTTTCGGTCACGGTCTGCGACCCTATTTCATGAGCAAGAAAAATACAAAAAATCAGCAAAATTGAAAAAAACCCACATTTTAGCTAACTAAAGAAAAAAAATGTTAAAATGTGGTGTTTTTAAATTTGCTGATTTTTTGCATTTTTCTTGCTCATGAAATAGGGTCGCAGACCGTGATCGAAACTGGGTAGAGCCATTTGTTTTTTAATAAAATCAATTTTCTGCAACGAGGAAAAGCCCGGTCGCTTCATTTCCATGGTCATCTCTTCGAGTGTCAACTTTTTTTTTATTGTTATTGTCTTCAAACAAATTAAATAAACTGCCTTGAATTAACGAAGGAGACAAATCAGTCACTTCAGCTCCGAGTTATTCACTTATTTTGAGGTGCAAATCCGCTTTGCTGCGGGATAAAAGTGTGACGCAATTGATGCGGCAAAAAGCATCAAACCACGTTTCATCAGCTATGACCAAGCAAGTCTGCCGCGAGAGAAAGAAAGAATTGCATTTTATATTCTTTGCCGTGTAATGGCACACACGCATGACGTAAATGGATTTGCCCAAATCACGGTCAACAGTCCAATTAGAAGGAGTGAAATAACATGTCAACCCGCAAAGAAAAGAATTCAGAATCGCGACCTCCTACGCGCCGAAAATGGCAGGCGTGAGTGAAGCGGCCTGCACATTTTGAAATCGGCCACCGAGACTTTTAACGACGAGTGTTTGCTCGCTCTCTTCTCTTGTGTCAGCATCAGCACGCCATTGTTCGGGTGATGTATTAATTGCGCAGGAATCTATGTAAATCCGCATTGACTAGGAAACCACGTTTCATATTTGCTTAGATGACCGCGAATTTCAAGGAGTGCGAGCTTCTGTACCTGTGCCTACTTTTGCCGTTTATTTAATATAATATACAGTTCAACAGCAGTCAAGTATTTGCAATCAGACACATTTTCCGTAGTATCAAAAGCTGTATACAAAACGCAAATGCAAATTTAAAAGATTTATTAATTTACTTCACGGTCAAAAAATAAATTAGTAGTTGTTTTTTTTTAATAATATTTCATGAAAAAACCCAATAATTTTTCTAATGCAATGTAATACAATAACTTTGATGCACTCAATCCTTCAAACCGAGAAGTATTAATAATATCTTATGATTAAAACAAATTTATATTATGTTCAATTCTTATCTTTCTAATAATTACATGAAAATTTATTTGTTTGAAGAAGTAGACACTCGAGGAGATGATCATGGAAATGAAGAGATCGGGCTGAAAATTGTTTTTTATTCGAAAACAATTTTTCTGCTATGAGGAAAAGCCCGATCTCTTCATTTCCATGAAATTTTATCCCCAATTGTTTAAGTTGTAGGTCTCAAATTGTTTTAAGATAAATTGAATCCTATCATTTTACTAAATCTTTGCAACTAGGGCGCGTTGCAATGAGTAATTACATCGTGGCGACGTCTCATAAGTCGATAAAGAATTATAATAATTTATTTATTTTAATGATAAATTTGACTCTTACCTGAACGCGGAGTTTTCGGCCAACAGTGTGGAAGATGTTGGGTTTTGGTGCACTTGAGGAGGCGGAGGCAGGTGTGAGTGTGGCGTCCTGGATGAGACTACGTCTGGATGTGGCTCCGGTGGGCGCACCTGCGGTACCTGGACGAAGGACCCCACCACCAGAGACTCGGAGAGAGCCAGCACGGCCCTCCACTCTTTTGCTTCTTGGTACACCACCTTGACTGACCTTGGCTGCACTGGCAATGGCCAACATTTTCGCCCAGCATCAGGAAGCTTGCCTGAATTTCTTCCCTCACCAAATATTTTGATCTGATCCAGTTGGCTCGCGGGGAGTCTCATACGTATGCTTTTTTTCTCTCTCTTGATGGCCTTGTAGTAAACCTATGTTAAAAACAAACAGGGGCGCTTTTAGTTTATGTTTCGTTTGCCAAATAGGTATTATTTGTTCCCAGTTGTTCCGTGAACATTTTTCATTTCACACAATCACGCATACATGATGTGATCTGTCGTCTGTCAATCGTCTCAAGATTCGCAAATCTTTCCTGATTCCTTTATGCTGCAGCGTTTTTCATTATATGATATTGTTATTAAAGCTTAATTCATGTACTTTTCATTTTTTGTATCGATTGAGGAGAAAAAATAATTTTTGCATCACAAAGAAACCTTCAAATTTCCGAATTGAGGGATTTAATTACTATTATTATTTATTTGTTTAGATTAATTCAATCAGACAAATTTTTAAAGTAAGTTCAATCTGGAAATTTAAAATTATTGAACGAAGGATAATACACGTGCATCTAACAAATAAATTTGTGGTACAACAAAAAACTTAATTTGCAACTAAATTTGTGTAGATGCAATATGAGATATTATTATTACACAAGAAATAAAAGCATTATCTTCTTCATTATTAATTAATAATTAATTCATGTATGAATTTCATGGTATATCCTGGATGGATCCTGGAGGACTAAACATGTTCTAAAGACTACTGTAAATAATCTTCTCTAGCAAAAAGAAAAAAAAAATTGAATTGAATTGAATTGAATTGAAGTCTCGATCCAAGTTGAGGGGTGTCTTATTTACATTAACAGTTTTTTCAGTTCTTTATTATTATTTAGCAAAAAATAAAAAATAATAATAAAACACACTGAACTTATGATTAAAAGTGACAAAAGGCTATTGGGGGTGATTCTCTCCTGTGACGATACGACAATAGAAGTAAATGTTTCCTCATTCGGGCCGATTATTATTTGCTCATTAAGAGTAATTATTGGCAAATTGTAAGTCAGACTTACCACAAAAGAGCAAAGTTTAATAACTATATTTTGAATTTGACTACTTTCTTACTATTTTTTTTTTTTGCAATTATATTTAATGTACTAATAGGAGCCAAATTAGAATTAAATGCAGCCATTTTTATTTAATTATTATCAGCATTTATTTTTATGCATTGGCAGTTGGCACTGGACTAAATTGAATTATAATAATAATGTAAAGAGAATAAAAAATATTAATATTTAAAAAAAAAATCAAAAAATGTGAATACATGGGACTGTTAGATTATTTTGCTATTCAATACGTGTTTACTTTTTATCTTTTGTATGTATGCAGTTAAAACCAAACAATGAATTCTAATCGAGGCTGCATGAGTGCATAAAGGAGATGCGTGGACCACTTTCGCTATTCGAGCTGCACTTTGTATTCAAGCAAGCCTTTACAATAATAAACGGCCCAGGTAGGTCAACACGCTGCTGTGTCGCCATTACGCCTTAACTCATGACGTTTGAATCAATCCATGTAATGCCAGAAAATTTCAGTTGTTTCCACTGCCAGGGGCTAAGAAATTAATTCAAAAGTTGACAAGAGATTAATTTGAAATGTAGCTTGCGCTATTGAATTTTGAAAACTTAAAAAATATTCCTGCAGCAGTGAGATAATTTTTGAAATTGTGAGAATTTTGTGGTGGATTGAAATCAATTCCCTTCACTCACAGGAAAATCAATATCCAATTTTGGTTTGCGACGTCCTTCGCTCCAAATCAGTTGCTCCGTTTTTGCAAGAGGGTGTTTGTTGTTTTTTTATTTGTGCTGATTTTTATCGGTCAGTGAGTCGACCGTGCAGTGCACGCGAGCACAATTTCATCTGACCTTGGATTATGAGGGAAAATATTGCATAAACGGGGAACATCTAGCATAATATTCCGCGCAACGCTGACCCAGCAGCGTGATTTCACTATTTCAACAAGAACACCGCTCATTCCTCACCGCTTCAATTGCTCCAGCAGCGCTTTTCTCTCGCCGCCGGCCGGTCGCACCTTCCTTCATCATTTTTGCAATTTTTCGTCAGCTGTTGAGCGTATTATTTGCAAATGTCTTTTTAACGTTGGCGTAAAGCACATTTAGCGTGAGCAGACACAAAATCAGCCATTTGGAGAAAAATATTAAGCAAAACACGTAAAATTGATTTCAAATATTATTAAGAATAATTCGGAATACTTTTCAACCTCTTTTTTTTATTATTATAAATAATGTTTTATATCATTCGTTTTTTATTATTCTACTTAAATAAAAACAAAGCACTTATTATCATCTAATCTAATCATAAATAAAATAATAAAATAATGTATCTTTCAAAAAAAAAATGGTTTATATACTTTAATTTTAAACTTATTCATAGATAATAAATGGGGTAGAATTACTATTGATGTACAAAGTTATCATAATGTGTTTTATGAAAACCGTCTTCCTTGTTGAAAATTTAGGGTAAATGCATGAGTGATTGATTGTGTTTTTATATCATAAGATTAAGTTTTCTACAAATTTACTATTCAAAAAGAACTGTAGTTTACTCTTGAATAATCACGTGGTGGTTTTTTCATTAATGTTGTCAGACGGGTTCAGGATTCAAGACTGCTGATTTCCAGTTTTGCTTCACAGCATAATTTAAGTATCAACAAATATTTCAGCAGATTCTCTTTCATTAAAACATTTTTGAACGCCACTCCCGTTCCCTCATTCGATTTCTGCTCCAAAACTAATTTGCAACAACATGCAGCGCGCAATTTTCTCCTTGTACTTGCTGCTGTGTGTTGTTAATGTGAAAATAGTGAAGTTTCAAAATATTGGGAAGCATTTGAAGTAATCTTCGTCAATTTCAATGAGTAAAAAAACTATAACTTTGAATTTCAATATCACGTTCATATATATGCAGTTGCATAGATGATCAAAATGGATATTTTTCACTCAAACACTTGCGACAGAAAGCATGCTTTATTATCATAATCATTGAATTCAATTAAATTCTTAATTGCTTCTACGACGTAGTATTAGATTATAGTATCACTCAGCATAACCAGAAAATATCAATTTCAAATTATTTTCCAAAATTGTGCAAAGAGCGTGTAAAACAAATTAACCCCCCTCCCCCCGTAGTTTAGGCTGCAGTGCGGCGAGTAGTTGGGTATTTATCGCCTCTTGGTAAATACCTTAATAATAATGAGTTTCAGTGAGCTGTTCACTAGCACTGTGTGCCTATTTTTCTCCCAACAAATTTTTTTTTTACAATTGATTGTTCTGACTGGTTTGGAGAAAAATGAATTTACTTATTTATTTATTCTCCATTCATAAATAAATGAATTGAATCTCTATTGCTCCCTATCTGGCAAGTTTTGATAGTTGAGAATAATTGAACGTCTCCCATTGAGAACAACCCTTTTTTTGTGCAGCAACATGTGATGTATTATTGAAATTAAAATTGTGCCTTGAACCGCAAAAAACGGTTCTGTATGGCATGTATTTAACAACGCACGTGTATAATTATTGGAGTTGATGTGGAGTGCTGTTTAGAATTGGGCAATCGTGACATATTTATTTATGTATTTTCACCCGATTCAGAGCGGTGGGCTGGAAGGTCGTCCACTTTATTTCCTAGGATTGGAGTCGTACGATCCGTTTGTTTCGCTCCAGACTCTCGGTTGAGGTCGTTCGGCCTGCATTCGTCTCTTTCCATTCTCGCGCGCCACTCGTGGAAATGCGCAATTTGGCTGCTGAATTGACTCACGCTCGTCGAGCCTGCCATGATTTTTTTATTACTACGCTGACTGAGGCCGAGAGCATCGCCTCTTGATTTTCCAACAAGCGAGAGGAACTCGCCCAGACCGGTGTGTCTTTTACGGCGTTGCAATTATTTTGGGATTCCCGGCCCCTCGCTGTTCTTCTTTCCGATCTTCTTGGATGAGATCGGTCTAACCAGTACAAAACTGGTTTGCCATGTCAGAATCCAATTGAGGAGGGCACATTTTCAGATTTTATCAATTCAAAATGTTTGTAAACTTTGCACATGAGACATTACATTTTTTATTTACTATTGCGTCAATCATTATGTTTTCCAATACATTTTGGATGGAGTACTTCAATTGCAATAATATATAATAAATTAATACAAATTTACAAATATTAAAAAATCATCAATTCATTAATTTTTGCCACCCAACAATTTTTTCCTAAAATTCCTATAAAAATTCAGACAATTTATTTAAATTCTAGGGGACCAGAAAATTTTGCTTGGAAGCAACTCGTTTTTTCAAAGACTCTATGGAATATGCTCACGATGCGTATTTTTTTATACGCATAGTAAATAAAATTTCCGCTCGAGAAACAGAAGCTCATTTTTGATCAATTTAGTTACCCCCAGGTCTTCGGTATTCTAATTAAGGTCTGAGGAGTTTCGCCCAAAATTTCCTGCTCCAGCTTCCTTGCAAGGTCGCGGAAGCGGCCATTAAACGAAAAAGATAGCGACAAAATAAACGGAGGCTCGCCCAAGATGCTTTCAGGTTCAGGTGCCATGCAGATTCTTGTGGGTTTTTTTGCAAGGGCAAGAAGAGTTAGCTGATTAATGATATTTTTGTGCGGCACAGGCAATTTTGTGTGCTGTTCTAGAAGGTAGACCGGTTTTTTTCCATATGGAGAGGCAGAAACTATTTTTAATTTACTTTTTCATAAGTGTCTAATCGAATATTTTATGTTTATGAATAGCGATTTGTGTTAAAATTTAGAGAACAAAATAGACGGCATTTAACGTGAGTTAAACGTCAAGAAATAGACTTAAATTTTACTCCTGTTCTTACAGAAAAAAATTGCCATCAAATCTAGCTATATTACTACCCTATAATATATATTTTTGAAAAAATAAAACAATAAATATTAATATCGATATGACATATGACGAAAAAAATTATGCAAAGGTTAAAACCGTTAAAACCATTTTAAAAATTTGATAATTATGATAAAATGATTTAAACTAAAACAAAACACATAATGAGAATACGCCCAATTTCACTTCATACTAATATT